ATGAGTTTAGACTCCAGTAGAAGAACATATAAAGTTTATTTTCTCTTTTTGTGCTTTTTGTAGAGAACTGTGATGCTAAATAGTGTCAGGTCCTGTACCACCTCTGTGGCTGCTGCTTGTTAACTTCTGGACACTAGGCTTTGAACCTCCTGCCTTAGGAGATGGGCAGCTTCTTTTGCACCTTTGGATATACCCTGTCTGCCCTTGTGAACTCACACAAATCCAGTTTATTAACCAGTCCTCAGTCCTCTTTGATGGTGGGTATTAAATGCTATATCGACACATCTTCTAAATACCTCCAGGTATGCTGACTCCACCGCTTCCCTGGAGAATCTGGTCTAATGCTTGACAACCTTTTTTGTAAGGAAAGTGTTCCTAATATCCAATCTCCTGAAAAAACTTGAGGCTGTTGCCTCTTGTACTATCAGTTGTTGGGAGAATAGGCTGAGCCCACCTGGCTACAACCTCTTTTCAGGGAATTGTAAAGTGGTAAAGGTGTTCATTGAGCCTCCTTTTCTCGAAGCTAAATACCCCCAGCTCCCTCAGCTGCTCCTCACAAGATTTGTGCTCCAAACCCTTCACCAGTTTTGTTGCTCTTTTGAGGATGTGCTCCAGCACCTCAAAGTCATTCCAGAAATGGACAGCTTTCCAGCCACTCTGCCCCAGCCTGTGGCCCTGCCTGTTGTGGCCCAAGAACAGGGCCCAACCCTTGACCTTGTTGAGCCTCACACCATTGGCTCTAGCCCATTAATCCAGCCTGTCCAGATCCCTCTGCAGAGCCTTCCTGCCCTCCAGCAGATCAACAGTCCCCCCCAGCTTGGTGTCACCTGCAAACTGACTGAAGGTGCACTCAATGTCCTCGTCCAGATCATCAATAAAGATATTAATCAGGGTTGGTGCCAATACTGGGCCCTGAGGAACTTTACCAGTGATCAGCCTCAGAAGGATGTAACTCCATTCAGTGCCACTCCCTGGAGTAAGCCATCCACAGTTCTTTACCCAGCCAACTGTCCCCCCATACAAGCTATGAGCAGCCAGTTTGTCCAGAAGAATGTTGTGGGAAATTATTTCAAAAGCTTTACTGAAGTCCAGGTAGACAACATACAGAGCCGTTCCAGACACCCTGTCATAGAAGAAGATCAGGTTCTCAAGCAAGAACTGCATTTCCTAAACACATCTGTCTGATTCCCTGGTTGTCCTGTAGGCCCTGCATGATGGCACTCATGATGATCTATTCCATGATCTTCCCTAACACTGACAGGCTGACAGACCTGGAATTCCCTGGATCCTCCTTCTGGCCCTTCTGTACATAGCCATCACACCTGCCAGTCTCCAGTCACCTGGAACTTCCCAGGTTAACCAGAACTGCTGGAAAATGATGCAAAGTGTCTCAGTGAGCACATTCACCAGTTCCCTCAGTACTTTAGGGTGGCTCCCACCTGGTCCCGTAGACTGTGTCTTAGTAGTGTGGCAGGTCGGTGACCAGTTCCCCTGAAGTGTGAAGGCTTAATTCTGCTCCCTGTCCCTGTTTTCCAGCTCAGAGGGCTCAGTACCTGGGGGACAACTGGTCTTACCATAAAAGACTAAGACAAAGAAGGTACTAAGTACTTCAGCCTTTTCCATGTGTTTTGTCACTATGTCTCCCCCTGCCTCAAATGAAGGATGGAGAACTACATTAGCCCTTCTTTTGTTACTGATGTATTTATAGAAGCACTTTTTACTGTCTGCTATGGCAGTAGACAAATAAAGTTGGACTTTGACTCTTTTGATATTCTCCCCACATAACCTCATGACATCCTTGCAGTCCACCTGAGTACACTACCTTCTCAGTAATGATTTATTACAATTGTATTTTTGATGTATTAGATATATTTTGATATATCTGATGTCATAAAGAGATTTCATCCATTTTGTGCTTTCAGATTCATCAACTTCCAGCTGCAGGGACCCTCCACTATTGTTTCTGTGCTTTTCCTGCTGGTACAGAGAGTGTCAGCTGTATCAGTAGTCATATCAGGGTTGTTTAATATTATGGGTTGTTCAGAAAAAGAGAGGCCTTGATGTCACCAGGGAACATGGCAGAAGTTCTGGTGTTTTGTTTTGACCTATACCCAGCCTCTGATACACGTCTCAACAACAATCATAGTTACGTGCCTTCTCTTAGGAAGGATTGGGAAAATAAAGCACTGCTTTGTGCAAGCTGCAGGTGTAGTACTTTGTACTGGCAGAAGGGCAGCAGAAACTGTTTCATAAATGCGTCTGTTCTTAGGGTTTCAAAAATACACTAGCTGAAAGTAACTGAAACAAAGCAAATACATGCAGGGATATGTGCAGTCAATCATACAACTTCTAAAAATACATGTGAGACAACTAATGCTGCTGCTCTGTACATGTCAGGAAGCTGCCCTGTGCTGTCTCACAAGTGTCCTGTGCTCATGAAATGAAGTGTGGCTCCATCCAGTAGCAACCAGCAGCTATGGACTATCTTTTCTGGCCAATCTGTCTTACTCCATGATCATGATCTGTGTTTCTCTTCAGCCTCTTTTGGCCAACTTCTCACAACTGCATTCTGTTCCCCGGGGATTCACAGAAATTTGCCTCCTTCTCCTTTCCCTCCTCAGAAGCCCTCTTGTTAATTGGAGAAATACCAAAGTGAGGAAGACAAAAAGCCATTAAGTAGTAGTGCTTAATGGAATAAAATTACCAATAAATGCCAGTGTTTAGGAAGTAACTTCTGCCTAAGGAAACAGCATTGTTTACTGTATGTGCTTAAAATATTCACACCCTCTCCTTCCTTTACTCACGGGATTTTTCTCTCCATTAAAAGTCAGCAGATAAGAGCAAAGAAAGGGCTGTAATTACTGCAATGAGACTTCCTCAGCTCAGTTCCTAATAATAAGTGCAAGTAAGCACACACATGCAACACTAGGGCTCTAGTGTTATCAAGCTCTTATGGGACAGAAAGGACTGCTTCATAATGGTACTTGATCAAAATATATAGAGCTATTACTTGCCTCTGAAATATTGCAAATATCATCAATACAAGAATCCAAAAGCTACAGTGTGTAAGAAATATTTAACCAATACTACATGAAAAGTGAAAAATGTTTGAACAAAATATAGCTTGTGGTTTCCTTACACTATGAGTTTTCAGCTAAGTCAATCTTTGTATCACCCACACACAAATCTTGTGGCTGAAAAAGAAACACATCTTGCTTATAATTATATTTAACTGACAAGAGTATATCATCTTATTTACAGGAAAAGCAGGGAGATATGTACATCTATGGGCTGGTTAATCCCATTTGAAAAATCTGTACTGTAGAATAGTAGCAACACATCAATAAAGTAGATTAAGAATCATCCATCCAACAGATCTCCATAAAAGTAACCAAAGAGAAATTATTGCTGCTTGGAAAGGCTCCTGTTTGGATTTGTGAAGTGTCATTGGCATATATACTCACAAGTAAATACAAACTCAGTGCAGAGGAAATTTGCAAACAGCCAAAGATTAGTAAGAGTGGAAAATGATGACAGCAAAAAGTCATGAGGATCCATCTGATGTATACTATAGTATGTAGTAACAAGGTACATCTCAAAGGTAACAAAAAGTCAAACAGTACTGAAAGTTGTATTTTATACTTTCCTGTTTTGAAAAGATACCTGTTATTCATAAATTTGGGGTAGAACAGAACAGAGGCAACTTCATAGGTAAAATCAGTAATACCAGATATAAAAAAATAATCTTCTCAATATATATGAATGAAAATCTAAAATCACTATCTTTTAAGAGAACATAAAGCACTAAGGGAAGAACATGTAAATCTGTACCATTTTGAAAGAGATTACAATCAATCTTAGCTTCAACACTTCAAGAAATGCACGTATAAATGAATGTTTTTATTATTACAAAATGCCATCTTCATCTTGATAGTTCAGATCTTGAAAGGCACATTTCAACCTAGCCATAACCCTTTTTACTCCCTACAATTCCCCACACAGACACCTGGACTAGCCTTTCACATAACCCTTTCTGCCACATCTGCTTGTATGGTTCCCCATGTCAGACTCTGTCCTCTCCCAATAAATGTGTCTTATGCTCCAGCCACGGCTCCATGACTTCCATGCTCAAAGGTCTGCTCAAAGACTGCTGGGCTCAACTAATGCTTCTCAAAGAGATAAGGACATTCATTTGGGTTTTTGTCCTCCTCTGATCATCTTTCTGTTTCCCAATGCCTTTAACACTGCTCAGACAGATAAAAATACATCTCATTACTTTAAACAAGGCTAATAAGAAAATTTGTTCCTAGACATCTCTGATACAAAGTATATCTGAAAGTACCATATTGAAAGTCATTGAAAATATCAGACTTGTCAACAGTATGAAAGTTACTAATGTTGTTTAATGTTAGAACATAAAGTTCAAAGAATGGCTTAATGTTATCAGCTGCTTAAATAATGCTGGAATTAGTTTATATTTCTATCATTGAAATCTAAAGGTCTGTTTGGCTAAATACAGTATTATTGCTCTTTTCTTAATGCATTTGAAAGGGCAATGCTGCAATCTTTCGACAGAAACACAAAAAAATAATGTAGGCTTTTTTAATCATTTATAATGAACTACATGCTGGTTTATACTTTCCTTCAACTTACTGCTCCAGGTACAACCATACAAGAGTTGTCACTGTCAAGAAAAAGCATCAGTCCTCAGCAAAAAAAAAGCGACATTTGAAAGGCATGGACATAAAAAGCAAAAAAAAAAGGCTCGCATAAATAATGTTTTGCTTTTCACAATGCACAAGCATAATTTTAGGAGGCTGACTTCTGATAAGGAATTGCTTGGTGCCAGCAGTATGCAGGAGAAATACACATATCCTCTATTTTTAATACTTTTCGCTTCACAACCCCCATTCTACTTCTGCCCTTTTCTCCTTTACCTGGTCCTACATTTATGTTATCCTAAACACAATACACTGACAGTAGTTCAAAAACCTACTTACAGGAATCATCCAGTTGGCCAGGTCACCGTACTTAGACACCTGCATAGCTCCAAGCATTGTCAAATCAACATGACCTCTGGTAACAGAAAGCGTGTAATTAGCACATCATGTTCAAGTAACAGCCCACAAATCTTAACAAGCTTTTGTTCGTTTGCATTACATCAATTTAAAAATGGTGGCATATGACAAAGGTAGCAACTATTTGTTGTACATGTACTTAGGGTTTTTTTCCCCCTAGATGTATCACTGATGCAAATGTCTCTTTATGCCTACTGAGCCTCAAAAATGTTCCTACTTTTGTCTGGTTTGGTTAATTGCATGCACAGTCAATCATCTCTGAACTCATACCTTTTAGTGCACCCTTTAACATATTTACAAACACCCATTATCTTTTCAGAGCCATTAGGTGTTTGTTTGCATCTAACCTCCTTTCCGAAAAACAAACAAAAAACAGGTGCAGACATTGAATTTCCATTAAGGAGGTGGAATGAGGATCACAGTTGCAAGCTGAGCAAAGAAAATATACTGAGTACAGATACAGATTAGATACTTGGAAATGACCAAAAAATAGTTGTTAAAACATCATTATAAATGTGTTTATAGATGGCCAGGTGGTGGTAGGCACAAACATCACCATGGTATCTATTAGTTCAGTGTTTTTTTATTTCCAGTAGCTAGATCTAACTCTCTGTAAACCATCACTGATTGAGTCCATGATAATTTTAAAGGTTGTTAAATGCTAACCACATTTGGAAGAAATACTAATGAGCTCAGCCACTGATGCAGTTTATTCTTTTCCTGTTTCAAAAAGATCAGTTTGTATTGTTACATACCCTCTTATCATTGCAAATGATTCATCGCTAGAGAAATAGGAAGAACCTGGAAGAACAGTGACTGTCTCCTTACCTGTAAAAGAAATAAGCTACAGTATGTATTTTGTTTCTTTGACAAATGAAGTCACAGCTATTTAACAAGAAATAAGAGGTTTTTATCAAATTCCTTTAGATTCAGTACAACTACAGACCTGATTACACTTACTATGTCACATGTAAACCTAATCAATCCTATTGAATTGTGAAGGAGTCTGTTCCAAGTTTTTAATGATAAGATTGCCTGCTGTTTGACCACCAGCAGTTCCAGGCAAGCCAGCATGAACACCAGAGTGTACGAAATATCTATGGACTTTAGCTTTCTGCCCCATTCACAGAAAAAGTGAGAATTAACTGTCTTTTGGAACAGAGAAAGATTAAGTCTTCAGGACACAGAGAGGCTGCAAAGAAAAGAAAGCAGATCAGATTGAACAGTTTATAGTGCTAATGATGATAAATACATAAAAAATGAATGGCAGGTCTAGCCTATTCTTGCTTTTTTTAAAGGGCACAAGAAAATGTGCTTCTGTGTGCTGTTCTCTGAACAATGCTTGAGTCAAGCAATGGAGCACACCTGGAAGTGTCTTATTTTGATTCTGTTCAGGTCCCTTTACTTCTTCTTCTGCCTGCTCTTTGAATCAGTCTAAGCAACAAACATTTAGACAAGGTGCTTCTGAAAAGTTGGAAGAAACGCAAACGAAGGTGAAAAGTATAAAACAAGCATGGTAAACTTGAGAGAAAAAAAAAAGCCAAAATATTTTAGCAATATGTGACATAGTGAAGAAACAGTGTAGCAACAAAGGGGAAGGGGAATGATACATCATTAAACAGTTACCAGAAAACAAAGTGAGATTAACTAATATAATGGAAAAGGGAAAGGAACAGCGCGTAGAACTTAAAATAGAGATCTAAGATATGTGCTTTAATTATTGAATTCATATGAGGTGTATTTCATGCCATTTGTATGGAAATTAAATAGAATAGTATAGAATTAAGGTCATACAAAGTGAGCACTTCTCAATAATTCACCATGCTAATACCCAGACCTGCTGAGACAGCCTGAATTATCTTTCCCTACAGGGCACCCACCCAAGGCCGTGAGAGAGAAAACAATCTGGGTTTGGAGGCAACAACATGGAGAGAGAAGTCTGGGATAAAGTGACAAGGTAATGATGAGAATAAAGACACACAGGTGTAGGAGCACAGAATAATGTAAAAAGAGCACCACATTACCCATTCTTAAAATGTTCTCAGGAGGTCAGTACTTTTAAATATTTCTGCTGTAATACAGTGGTCAATCTTTCAGTTGCAGTCAAGATATACTTCATATATCATTAAGAAAATGGGACAAACAGAAAAACCCATACATACTTCAGAGCAATACCATTACATTTGCAGAAAGAAATTTGGCAAAAGCCGAAATCAGGTATATGTTTTAAGAACTTTAAACTGAACTTTGGGGCTGATACTGGATCATTCCAGTTAATGAATGACAACAAGATTAATTTCTATTCCTCTTCCATTCAGCTTCTGTTTTCTTCACGTGGTTTTAAAAATTTGAGTGAAAAGCACCTAGAATGGTCCTAATCCAACCCATGTGACTGTTTCAGCAATTACAGGAATAATTATTTTAGTGGTAGGTCTGATGTTTGTCTATCCCATGTCCTGTTTACTGCAACTTCAGAGGGGCATGTTAAGCTCCTTAACATCAAATTTACAATATTACAACAATCTAATTTTTCATGTTGCATTCTGACCTGTTATGTTAGCTTCATCCCTTCCAGATTAATTTTCAAAAAATAATTATCAACTATAAATAACAATGCAAGATCATCTCGATTTCCATGTTAAAGCACAACTTTTTCAGAGGATTTGTGAAGTTCTTGGATATTTTTTTCACTGTCACTCTGCTAATATGTTAATTTTTCATATGCACCTATATTAAAACTTAAATTCTAATGTGCATGCATATAATTTCACTCACAGTATTTTTTTCTTCTAAATATTTTTTTCCTTCCAGTGACTCCTCTGACACATTCCTTCATGTAGTTATCAAACAATTACATATATACTGGTGAAATGCTGGACTCAATTTCTTAATTAATTTTTTACTTCAAACCAGAAAATGGCCTCAAATAACTCCACATTTAAAATATAGTAGCAGAGGCAATTACATAGCATTACAGAATTATCACTTAGCTGAGCCAAGCAGCAAATGTTTCAAGTCAGTGAACAATTGCTCAACTGACTTTAAATAAAATTAAAATTAAATTAGATAAAAATATTTTATGTCAGTGCTTTAATTCCTTTGACTTTTCAGGGTTTAACTGTACTTGCCAACAGCCATTAAGAAAGGTACTGTCTGTATACATACATATGTAGACACCCATACTCGTATGGGTGCCCATACATGTATGTGTACATATATATATATATATACATGTATGTATGCATGTGTATTTTTGAACAAAAAATATTAAATGTATATATAAGTCTAAAATGTCAGGTCTGTAACATACACCATTAACATCAACAACAAAGTTACAAGGCCTACTTCTGTTTGTCACAATGCAATATTTAAGTGTATTTTTACATGGAGACACAGAATGTACACAGGCACAACTTCTCCATGAAAAAAATATAAATCAGGTGCACTAAATCATAAGAAACTTACATTTTTACATTGAATAGCATCTTCTGAGGTGAAATGCCCCTAAACAGCTGGGCAACAACAGTATGTGAGAATGGCCAGTCTCTGCTAAAAGTGGCAAAAGCAGCTGCCCACAGCAGAGCCCTGGGTGTGCCATGTACCAGCTGGGCAGCTCTTTCCCCTATCTTGGCTACCACTCCCTCCCTGAATGCAAATGAGTTATATTCCAGGCTGGGAATAAACCAGGCCATTATACACAGGATGTTTTAAAACATGTCTCAAGCATAAATCATTGAAAACCATTTTTCAGAAGACTCAAGGTGAAAAGCAGCAGGAAAACAAATCCATATTCCCTTATAGGCTGCACAAAACAATCTTGCTTCTGAAAAGGATGATTTGAACTTTTACTCATCATCCTAGAAGAGAGTCTCTCTTTGCAGAGCAAAACTGTCACTTAAAAGAAAACAAATATATTAATATTTATTATCAAATAAAACAGGACTCTAGGTTCAAATAGGGTATCAAATGAAAATTATAAAATTAATATGGTTATTCATTTCCCACTAATTAAATTTAATTATTTACCTGCATTAATCAAATCTGGATCTACTTCATTTTCAAGTGGATAAGGACCCTAAAAACAATACAGATGTATGTTAAGCTTTATAATAAAATACCTTTAAAATACAATCAATAATTACCATAGTATTTCTAATGCCGATTACCAAAACCATATCATGGCAGACATGCATTTTTTTATCTTTTTTATCAGAATTTTATTTTTTTGTCAGAAAAGAATCCTGACATTACAAGTCACAGTTTATATCAAGTAACATATCAGGGCTGATGGACATATTGTTCAAGGATGTTAGAATTATTAAACAACCATGAAGCAAGAAGTTTCATTCGGGTTTCTTTTTGTTCTTAACTAAAGTGACATTTTTCAGAAAAATGTCATAACTGCAACTTCATTAAGCCTTATGACAACAAAAATAATTTTCACTTTAAGCTTTAGTTAAAATTATGTTTTCCCACGTTTACAATGCTTGGTCTTGATGGTTTTGAGTCCGAAAACATATGTACTTAAGGACATCCTTAGCGAAGTAGCACCATAATCATAAATGAGCATTCCCTAAAAAACTTCCATGCAGCATATTTTATAATAAAATAATAATATAATAATATAACATAATAATATAATGTTTTAAATAATAAAATATTATCATTATTTCATGATAATATATGAGAATTATGAGAATTTTTATGATAATACCAAATTTTTTGTAATAATATGTAATATAATATATAATACATAATTTTGTATATAATATGTATAATATGTATATTATATATATTATATATATTATATACATATATAATATATATGTATAATATATATATACATATATATTATATGTATATAATAATCAGCTTGAAGGTGAGCAGAAAATAAAACCCAGGTACAGCAAAATAAAAACACTAATAACTGACCAAGATATATTCTTACCAAACCCAGGACTCCATTTTCACTCTGTAAGTGAACAGTTATGTCTGGACTAATGAAGTTACTGGCCAACAGTGGGATTCCAATACCCAGATTAGCTGAAAAGAAGTGGTTAAGGCAGAAACACTTATTGCAAATCAGTAAATTTTAAAAAATTACTGTTATACTATGAGTAGATTAGAACTGTTCCCTTGACAAGCACTTTTGTTTTTACTTAGATACCTCATATTTGTGATGAATTATTTTCACATTTGGACTGTCTAATTGCATTCTGTCAAATCCTTTACACGACAAAAAAGTCAACAGTGCAAATAAAGCCTCTTTTCCAACTTTTTCAAGAAATTCTTGTGACACATTCAACTGCAAATAAAGCCACCAGACGTAAAAACTCCACCTATTTTATACCATAGCATCCCTTCTATTTCAGTTGAGTATTAATAAAATGAGAAAATCACAGGGTCTGGCAAAGACAATGAGCACATTACTAAATTTGTTCTAAACAAACCAGATGGTTTCTTATTCTAGTCAGCAATCACTTTAACCTATAGCACAGCTGAAGGATACCATACATGCCATCCTCAAACTCTAAAGCAGCTCGTTTGATGATCCTCTCCCTCACATTGTCTCCTTTTTTTTGTTTGGCTGTTGAGTCTTCAGGCTTTCGGATTGATAAGCGCTGCAAAATAAGAAGTAATCCCAAGTAAAGATTAGAATCCAGATTCTTGCTTCTCAAGACACAAAAGCTGAAATATTTGGTCTAAGAATAAAGTTATTTATTCATCTTCTTCTACAAAAAAAACGACCTTTTATTTTATGCATTCAAGCTTAGCTAAGCCAATAGAGTCATCAAATATTGCCAACGACAGAGCAAAATATTATTTCTTTGTATTGCTGAGCCTGATACACAGAGAAGTGCTGAAGAAGGCACCAAGCACTAGTGCAAATACTAGCAAGTCTGAGATTAATTACCCCAGAGATATCTAAATAGATTTGTAAAATGTCAGCCAAAAATACAAATACTGCTCTCTTTCTGCATTCATTTAATTCAATGAGCTATTCTAGATTTATAAGGATAAGACAGACAAATGCCACTCATCTAAAGATAATGGGAGCTAAGAATCAAAATTTTCAAACTTAACTTTCTATAATCTTGCAAAGCCCATGAAGTTGTTTCCTGATATTTTCTCATCTTAAGTTCATGTTTTGTAAATCACATGTAGGTGAAAATGCCATGACATTCAAGAAGTTCATGGCATCTTTCTTTTAAATTATTATTTACAGGTTATGTTCTTTGCACATTTCTCATATGCATACAAAATTCCTCTGGGCAACGTCATATGTCTTCATATCCTCTCCTACTTGAGGCTACAATTAACACATCAGAAAAAATTTATCCTGTTACTTTTCATCACCACAAAATAATTTTTGCAGAGTCACTTTCCCCTTAGCTGTCAGAAACAGTCAATATCAATCCTCTTGACTTTCCCATCAACTTTATTTTTATGCCTTGACTATTTTCCCTAGAATTGCTTCACTTGTGGATTATGGATAAAATAAGGACAATTACAGAGGGTTTCTACACAGCAAAGAGAAGGCTAGATACAAATTCTAGCTGATGCTAGAGAGACGACTTCTGAGCCATATTAGGCAGGAACTGCTATTCAATGCCAGTAAGAAAGTAAGTAAAGCCAGTAAGTAAAACTTCTCTTTATTTCTTATATTCCTCATCTTCTCTCACCACTTACTATACTCACTGCTTTTCTGAGTACAGCCAGTTCAATTATGAAATTTAACAGAAGAGTAAATAAATCTGCCATTTCTTCCCTATACCTATACCTAGTGAGGGGTGCCACTGCTAGAATTACAAAATTGCATAAGTGAAATTAATCTCAGTTACAATTTTGCTTGGCAGTTTATAGTAGCTTTTTCCCTCACCCCTGCCCTACTTTTTTTCTGAAGCATATAGGGCAGGGGGCAGATGACTAGGTAGGTATTCTTCAGGTATTCAGTAGGTATTGACTAAAGAGGTATTCACTTATGCAGCCAAGATGCAGCAGAAGCAATTATTAAACAAATGAAAAAAATATTTGTCATAAAAGGTAAAAAGCTTTTCAGGGAGATAATGTAGCCATTCAGAAGAAGAGATCAGGCCATTAATTGCAATCTAACCCAACAAAACCAGAGAAAAAAAAAAAATTTTGACACATCTGTTTGCAGTCAATTACTCAACAATATGCAATATACTTTTGCAGAATGAACAGATGGAAGAAAAAAATGCTTCTTAACCTTAGCATTCACAAAAGAGAATGCTTGGAGAAAAGGTCTTTTATGACTTCCTAGGACTTTGTTACTTGATTTTAATAACAGAAGTTTAATTATTACAATTCCTGTCTGCACTTTTTTTCTTGCAGAATTTTTTTTTCCTTATGTGATATATTTTCCATTCTACCAGCTTTTCTGATGACATTTTGAGCAATTCCCTCTTCCAGAGTATCAGGAGACAGAAGAAATACAGAATTTTCAACTGCACTGTAAGAGCATTGTCACATCACCAAAATGAATGCAGGGACATAGCCTGAGTGTGGCAAAGCTACATAAACAAAGAACAGCCACATTATCATAGTTTTCTTGGGTGTTTTCAGTGGTGGAACATTATTGCAGCAATTTTAATAGCTACTGACATATTTTACTCAGAACAGAAAGGCTACCAGTTTAAAAAGTTCCCAATTAAAGAAAAGGGAACAAAGGTTTCCAGAACCTTTGCAATACAACTGATTCAGTACACAGCATAAAAGGAACTGAGGCTGGCCCTGTGTGCCCACATTAAAAGCTACCCAGTGGAAAAACAAAGTATCTACTTGTCAAAGTCAGATCCTTGTCTAGGTGTTTCCCTGTTGTGTCTACAGCAGGTGAACTGAGAAAGGGAAGGAGAATTTAGTAGCATTTTCCACTAGATTTTCAACATCAGTAAAGTTATTCAGGGCTGCAGGCAATTGCTCTAAATTATTCAGGAACTGAACTACAGGGTCTGAAGTATAAGAAAGAAGGCTCAATCAACAGGCCCCCACCTAACTATGTAAGTACCCACCTAAGCTCCAGTTTTTAGCAAAACTTGATGGGTCTTTCTCACACTACTTTCTCAGTGCTAGGACTTGGTGGCTAGACTAAAAACTGTAAATTTTACATACAGCCCAAGCTAAAATACGTTGTGACTGAGAAGCTCAGCTACTTACTTCAATTCTTTTCTCAAACTTCTCTCCTTGTAACAGACGATCAACATAGATTTTGGGAACATGAATATCTTCTGGGGCAAATGCTCCTATGTCAACAATTTCTTCTACCTACAGAGTGAAAAGGGAAAATATTTAGAAAAAAATTACTTAATGAGAGGTTTTAATACCAATTAAGTTTTGAAATGAAACATTAAATATACAGCAGATCACATCAAGAAAATTAAGGAATAGGACAAAATGGATACCATCTTTAAAACAGGTTAACTTAGATGCTTATCTGTCCTTTTCTTTCATTTCTTCATATAAAGTGAAGGTAATTTATGTTTTAATAGGCCCATTTGTATGGCAAACTTGAAGAAATATAGTGTGTACAGTTACATCAGAGTTGTTTGTAACTACAAAAGATGTCTACTCAAACAGAGGGAAACAACATACTAGTAACAAAATATCAAAATAATAAGGCAGATTTATTAATTTTGAGGACACAAACACAGAAGGTGAATAAAAAGTTTACCACAGTGTACTCAAAACAAAAATAGAAAATATTTGAACTGTAATAATGGATTGCAAGAAAGAATATAAAAGATGAAGATCTAGAGGTCTTTACAGTTAGTGAAATAGATTCAGCACAAAATGACACTCATGCACACGTAGTAGATTTGAAATGTCATCTATCAGGGGCACCACAGACAGAAGGGGTTTCCTTCCTTCTACACCTGAGTTGGGGGTGATCTAGTTGGAGACCCTGCTGAAAGACAGATACCTGCAGCACAGACCCTCAGCCACGGCTGGTGCTTTCCCTGACAGGTCTGAGGTACATAGAGCACATCTCACTTTGCCACAAAACAGACACTAATGTTAGTGTTGTTTGCAGTTGCATCCAACCACCGGGAAAACATGCAATGTTAGAGCAACAGTCAAAGATAATATACAACAATCTACTACACAGGACATAACAATGTACTCAAGGATTAAAAGACAATTTCCAAACTGCTTTATCACCAGGGATTCATTAAACTCTTAGGAATGTACAAAGCCTAATAACCCCAAAACAAGACCTGGGTTATAGTAAGTGTAAATCTCCGAACAGCTGTCACCAGTGACACAACATTAAAGCGTTTAAAACTCAATTTGACATCCTACTGGACAATACGATCAATACTAAAATCTATAGTACATCTGATAGACAATTACCTTCCTACTGTGCCTTGTGACACATAACGAAGTAAAATGTGACAATAAACAAACAAAGAAACCAACCAATCCACCCTAAAAATAGGAGAAGGTGAAGAAAAATTGAAAAACTAAAGATCAGAGGACCAGGTTCAGATGATCCCTAAAAGAAGTCCTGGGTTAAAGAGACAGAAAGGATGTGAAATTTGCAAGGCAAACATCCTAAGCAAAAGGCAGTAACAGCTACAGCAACACCATCTCTGGTGCTCATGGTGAGCAGAGCCCCACATCCAGAAAACCCTTATCCACAAGATAAGGAGAGACACTCAAATCAGTATCTTGGAAATTCTGATTTGGGTATTCATAAAAAAATGCTGAAGTTACATCCATCTCACTTGACGTTTCTAATTTTCTACATTTATTTTAAGATTAATCTGGAGACCAAGTCAAGCACAGGGTAAATTAAAAAGTCCTGAAGCACACAGCTGAAGCACACTGCACTTGTGATACAGTGACTACTGTCAGAACATCCTCAAAAGGGAGGAGAAGCAGGAGACAAGACTTTCCAATGAAGCAATAGGCAAGCAGATGATCTGCTACCAGCAAAATTCCCAAATTCACCCTTTCTAATTAAATTTGTCTTCACTTATCAGATGAAAAACTAGGCCTGGGGAATACCAGTTGCTTCTGATTTGAACTTTCTCACAGAATAACTACATTTATTTGCTGCAGCAGCTGAGATTATAAAACCAAAATCTTGGCATAATTCAACAAGCTTGAACAGAATTATGCTGTCAGAAAACTTGACACACTAATCCTCTCCCCCCATAGAATACACAGAATAAATTATTCATCCAACAATAAATTGTTGGATTTTGTTATCAGTCACACCATTCTGCTAATTGGTTTGTATTTTGTCTCTTGGGACACAGCAGTCAGCCTGATAGCTTTTCCTCTTTTATTTCCAAGCATTATCCTAAATGAACGAAACACTACAAACTGTATTTTGTCCTAGGGATTTCAGATAAGCCTAAAGATCCCTCATGACTGGAACACCTTCCCATGTTCTACCATTATGTGGAATATGCATCAAATGTAACTAAAATTAAGTATGTTCAAATATCTCCACAGCAGTAAAGAGGAATTTTGAAAAGAAATTAAGAATTTGCATGTGATGTATGAAAAATTAACTGTCTTCCAGTTCTGCAAGTGAAATAATCAGCACGTTTACATGGAAAAGGGAGAATTTACACAGGGGAAGTACAAATGCCATCTGAGTGCTCCAGCTCTCTCTCCCAGAGAGCTGGATGATGAGGCACCGTACATGGGCTGCCTGCCATCAGCATTGCCAGAGATGAAGCTGTGCCAGCTGAAGTGACATCAGGAAATCTGATGGCTATGGGAATCAGCACCTTAGTGCCTGTGGCCAGCACAAGGCATTGCCCGAGTATCTTCCTAGACAAGAATGCTACTGCAAATTTAATAGTCTCATCACTGGGCATATTCACTTCCCTTTCAGGTTTCATATTTCTTTATAAGTCTGCTCTGTGGATGAAGCCTCAAGGAGAAAGGCAGGAGCATATCCATATTAATAATTCAAAGGATGTGTGTGAGTTTTTCTCCTGATCTGTTCTCATCTTACCTATGCTTCTGTTCTTTTCTGTACCTACCCTGCCTCAGGCTTTATTTTGTAACATACAGAAGAATCTTTGTAAACATCAAAAATCATTATGTGTCATCCCACCCAAGAGACACCAAATCTGTCAAAGCACAGAGAGGGAACTAATCAGGGCAGACCACCTCCTGCACTCTTTGTAATTAGAAAATCAAAATCCTCTGGTACCTTTTAGATTGCCTTGATCACATACATTCATCTTAAAGCTTCATTTCATCAATGTGCAAAAAGACAATAAATGTTTACATCTTTGCTATACAGGTAGAGCTAAAAAGTAACTCCAGGAGACCACGAGGGTTGACTTCTGTCTTCTGGGAAGGCTCTGATGCTTTACTCAAATTGGAGGTTTCTTCCCGGGGATAGTGTTCTTGCAAATCTCTGATTGCTGACAATGGAAGGAGGATGCATGGATTCAGTCCTTTCTCACTGCTGGTTTATCTGGAAGTACCCCCAGAACATAAACGCTGTTCTCCACTATGATGCACAAGAGCCTTCTGTCATTCCTTTTGGTATCAGCACTTACAGAAGCAGTGGTCAATTGCTTCACAATATCACTTCCTTCTGTAATTTACATCTATTTTTCCTTTGTAAAGCAATTTTAATTCCTTTTCCTTACAGAAAATCAGCTATTGTTCTAGTTTTATTTCAGAATTTCTGAAGGCTTCCAGAGAGAAAAAGGGAACAGTGATACTCATGGCCTTCTAGTAAGAAAAATAAAAACTATGATTCCTTACTAAAAATTGGTAAGGAAATAACAACAACAACCTATTCATGCCAAAATACTCAAAAATAAAAAGGCCTTCATTGTTCCTTTTATCTATATCTGCAGCCTAATTATGTACTTTATGATATGTTAAATGTTTTCAGCTGGTTTAGTTTTTATCCCAGTTTTCATAAAACTAAGCTATAACCAGAAATTACAATATAATTCCTTATTACAGAAAAAAAATCAAAACCATTTGTGTATGAAAGAAAGAGATGGGGGGAGAATCAGAGCTGAACAAACCTATGCAATTTTAAGTAGTTTATTTTTATACTAACTTTATCAAATCTCTCTATCAACACCTTAATTATCTTAGTTCTCTTCAGTTCTTCAAACATGAAATAATGGTCATTCCTAGCAGAACGCTAATAAATTAAAACATTACAATTGGTTAAATGTCTAAAACAACAAGAGGAATGAAATAAAATTTAACCACTTAGATGCTCAAGACAAACTCATCAGTACAAATCATCACTTCACCACTGGAAGAGTCAGGATGTCACTGCTAAATTCATTATAACATTTATTAAGTCTTAAAATTAAAAAAAAAAACAAAGTACATAATAAGGGCTATAAGAATAAATTTTATGTGTCTGCATTCAAGGCCACAGAAACTGATCAACCACTCATGATGGTTAATGACAAACGAGGGGGGAGAAAAGTAAATATTAATTGTTTAGACTGAATTTCACAAAAAGCTTTGATATTTTAAAACTGTGAGATACACTCTGAAAACAGTTCACTAGAAATTAAGAACACACTATACAAACTTTCTTAAATACAGGAAACAGCAAAGAAGTTTACTGAATTCTGCAAGCAGGGAGATGAAACAGAGGATCTTCTGAGTTCAACTCTTTCCTTTTGTAAGATCATACAGACAATGAAATTTCTACTCCTGTCAAAATCCTACAGTAATGGAATGACAGCCAGTCAATATCCATCCTGAAAAAGAGACTTTTACAATTAGAAACTCAAGCAGTTAGCACATAGCCTTATAAAGGAACATCTTGGTCAACAATTACCACATTATGGTCACATCAGACTTCAAATAAATGTTTTCATGAGCATACCATGGGGCAGGAACACAGTAAAAACCTGTAAAGTTAATATTTGTTAGAGAACCTTTCACACAGTAAGTCTGGACTGGGTCACACTGAAGGTATGCTTAGCCAAACAGCCCTCCTTCTCAGCAACAGGATCTTAAAAGGCAGTATGGTTCTTCTGGTTATATTCTCCCAGCTGCTAGCAATGTGTCAATTTCAGGATGCCCTCAGTCAGAGGGTGGCCCTACATCGCCTTCTTCATAGCTTCTGATGAGCCAGGAACTAATTACTTTCTTAGAACCCAAGAGACTCTATTGATGCATTTCTTAAATTTAACTATTATGAAAAACATTTCTTATTATCTCTTGTAATTTCACTGTGTGCTCCCTTCTCTGTGCCATACAGGAATGGCACACAGCAGTTCTTTATTTGTCTGTTTCATGCTGTTGAAGAT